CATTTTAACTCATACGAACCAAATGGTTTGTTTTAATTTGTGTTCTTTTGATTTCAGAAAGTCCCCATTGTTCCCTCCGATGGTGGGATTTCACGAAAACGAGAGGTAAAGTGGTTTTTAGTGATGCTTTTCTTGATTTCTATAATGAACTATCTATGAAAAGCTGAGGTTGATGATTAGTAATGTTAAGTGCAAAAGCTTTGAAGCTGAATCTGTAACTGTTACAGTAAATTTAAAAATTCTAAATGTTCCGGAGCTTCTTTTCTAGGAGGTAGAACTTGTTAAGCATGTTCTTAGGGCCTGTTTGACAGGGTTTTGCTTTTTACATAAGAGCTTCCTCAGCAGGATTTTGCTTCTTGCATGTCAACTTCCTCTAAAAACTCTTATAGTCAGGCAAAGGACTTCAAGCAATTTATTCAAACATGTCCAAAAGTAGTTAGTCTCATAAACAACTTTTGACTTTTCAAAAGCCTTGCCGAACGGCCTTTAGAAGTTTGATCTTACAGAACTTTCTTTTTTCTTATTCAGGGGATTAGGGAGGATAAATTTGACTATATGTAGCATCTACACATTAATTCGTGTCTAGTTTATGGCTATTGCTTCTTACTCAAAATTTTTGGAACTGAACAGAAGTTTGATGTTCCTTTAATTTTTGATAAAATAATTATTCTTGAAAACCCTGCTTCCATCTAGCTTCTAATGGCTGTCTTTATGTTCATCTAATCTGTAAGATTGGCATGTAAAATTATTTGTATGAGAGTAAATGAATGGATCAAGAAGGATATTGCTCTTTTACTTCACCTTAAGTTAATATATTGTCTTATCAGTTTATGAATTTACTTCCCGCAGACTTCCCTTCCTGTCGAGGATATTGCCAAAGCATTGGCAAAGATGGGATATGAAGTGATAACCTCGGATGATGCTGGCCGGTTTGTCTGCAATTATGTATATTATCATTCCTTGCGATTTGCAGAGCAGAATGGAATTAAATCACTATTTGTACATGTTCCCCTCTTCTCTACTGTAGACGAGGAGACTCAAATGCAGTTTGCTGCTTCCTTATTGGAGGTACTTGCATCTTTGTGCTAGCTCTTTGACTATCTTAAAATATCTGCTTTTGAAGGAATATTTGTGTCTGTTTGCCGTGTTTGTGAAGATAAATTTGAATATTTATGCAGTGGTTTAATAAATTGTGTAAACTGTGTGTGAATCTTGAAATGCATTGCTGGCCATCGATTGGTGTTGAAGTTTCCTCGCTCTCCTTGTCATCTTTAATGATACTTTCTGAGTTTGTATCGATTGTTCGTCTATCAATGAATAATCTGTGTACATTTTGCACGAACTTGGAACAATATGCTAAGCTTCTCTCAGTATGAAATATTTATTTCTTGGCCAAAAACTGAAGTAATTGAGTTCTTTGAGATTTGAATAATGTATAAATGTGTCCTAAGGGCATGTTTGATTTGGCATCATTTCCATGGAACTTGGAAATTGATTTTCATCTTCTTGGTTTTGGCTTGTTTGATTGGTTTAATTGTCTTGGCAATTCATTTTCTTAGTTTTGGCTCACGCGGTGCCAATTCATTGATTTTCAGTTTACCTTTTTTTTTTTTGGCAATGGAAACAAATTGTATCCCAAATTGTAACAAATTATATCTCTTTAATGGACAATTTTCATATAAAACAAGGTCAAACGAATATCAAAATATTCAGAATTTCAATATTTTCCACGTAGAAAATTATACTAATCAAACACAATTAATTGACAATTCTCAGGAAAACAATTCTAGACAATTCAATTCAATTCATTTGAATTCATTTTCTTTCCACCCAAATTTCACTCTTACAATCAAACATACCCTAATATTCAAATGGTTATTAGTTTTCGCTCAATTTAGCTCATAAATTTCCTTTTACCTTTCAGCCAAGACTCTTAGGGATCAAAACACCAAATTTTGAATGCAGCTGGATTTTGATTAGCATTTAGGTTAAACTGTCCGCACCATTCATTTCCACCCTTGTACGATTTAAAGTTAAAGATTGAACAATTTGCTTGTAAATAAGGATGCAAAAACTCTATTTGACCATTTGACATCCCAGGGTGAGCTCACTACATAAATGTGCACACATATTACACGCAATACACTTCACATGTTAATACATCCAAGTTTAGTGACATGCTTCATAGTATCAGCTATGCACATCATAGAAATATACCATGAGGGATGAAATCGAGTCACTTAAAATAAAACAGTTAAGATCAATTCTGTATCAGGAGCTTGAATCTCCAACAATTGCCACTCCTATGGATACTGTTATGGCTGAAAAACAAGATAAGCATTTTCTGATGACAAACCTATCCCCAGTCGACAAAGGGGAGAGGTGGATATCCACCATCTGGAGGAGGCCATAAAGATGGAGGTAGGTTTCCGACTGAAGTTCCCATTTGATTTCTGAACATCGTAGCTGCAATAAGCAGATGTGATGGAAATAAGTAAAAAAACACATTAAATCAAGCTTAATGGAATATGCAAACTCCAAACATTCAAAAACTTATACATGATGGAGCACATGATGCATGAAACATAAGGAGCAGTAATACTTGCCAGGCATAGAAGCTTCTCCACCCAACTGAGTCCTAGTAATGCTTTCCTGCCCATCACTGTTCATGAAGCTCGGCCCTGGTGATTGGATAAAGATATAAAATTGACTGATTCGAAGAGAACTGCAAGAAGTTCTATAGATATAACTGATGACAGAAATAAGACGAGCTACCTGCTAATCCTCGAGTGTTTATGCTTGGGACATTCTGCTTGGGATGATAATATTTACAAGAATCTCCGTATTGGCACGACCCCTTGAATCAATGAAAAGAAATTAGTAATCAACATCAGATTGATGAAAAAGTACCAAATCAAGAGTAAACATAGTGGTAGAAAGTGTGACAGAGAGAAGAAATACAGTCTTTCAAGAACGGAATGAGCACTCTTCCCTAACAAAGACGCACATGAGAGATTCGCCAAACTAGAGACTAATGATGAAATTCTTTCAAGTAAAATGGAGATAGGTGATCATCTAAAACTAATAAATAGTGTATAGTAATAAGTAATGCAAAAAATGAGGTCATTCACCCCAACCTTCAACCAAATATTAACACAGCCTCCTTGAAAGCAGTTTCAAAAGAACAACCTCAATCCTTCCTAAGGGGGTGTGATTCACCAGACTTGATGAATATCGTCTAATGAATAACAAGTTTAACTTTACCAGTGAAATACTAATTTCCAGTTCAGAAACGATGTCTCTACATGTACGAAGGATGATTAAGCTCAATAAGCAATTAGGATTTCTGATTCAATTCGAATCATCATAATACTAGCAAAATTACAAAACAATTTCCAGATTAAAAAACACAATAACACTTCAATAATCATAGCATTTAAAATAATTGGAAAAAAGAACAATAAGACATTCATTAACTAAGAAAAATGGCAAAAACTTTTGAGAGTAGCGTAGGTGTACCGTACGGAGAAAGCGATTGCAAACTCCTTTTCCAAAAGAGTCTGGGTCGTAAATTTGAGACAAATCTGTTAATAAAAAACTGAACAGAGATCAGTATACATGTCTACGGTGTTAGTGAATTTTCCGTATCGAAAAAGATAAGAGTGAGAGAGACGCTGACTCTGGGAGCGCAGGGAGTCGTACCAGAGAGCTTTGGCTCTCTGGTGTTGAACGCCTTGGAGGTGGCGCCGCCGTGCGAAGGGGGTGTCTTGGAATTGCTTGTCGCAGTAATCGCAGTAATATTTCCCCAGCGGCATCTCTCTCCGACTCGATCGATCGATCGAAATGGTAGCAAATTTAAAAATAGCCTTTATATAAAAAGTTTGTATTTATGTACAATATCCGGAAAAAATAGGTTGAGCCCCAACCTTTTAAATATGATTACGAATTCCTAACCTTAAAAAACAGGGTAATTAGCATGCAATCTTCTTATTTTTCACTGTTATTAAGGAAAATGTTCTTGCTTTTAATTTCTTTGGTATTTTCAAATTTTATTGCGTAAAATGTCATTTTCATTTATTTTTTTTAATTAAAACTTGTGAAATGATGAATATACCATTAAATTTAAATAAAACAAAAAGGAAAAAAGAATTAATTGCAATCATAGTC